CAGTAGGACCCCCATAGCTGTGGGATCAGGATCTGTGGTTTCACATATCCACAGTCTGAAAATATTGAAAATCTTCAAAGAGAAAAATCTAGAGAAAAATTATTTTTTCATGTATTGTCCAAACTGGCCTCTAGAGGGAGCCAGAGATCATGCTATGAATTATTGCGAAGAATACATAACAGGGTCTCTGGCTCCCTCTAGTAGCCAGCTCTGGTATTACATATGAAAATAATTTTTTTTCCTTTTTTTTTTCTTTTACCATGCGATCATCGATAGATCAAGATAGATTACCCCTCCTTTCTCCTTAAGAACCCAAGGCAGCTAACACAATTAAAGGATAATACTTAAAACTAAAAACAAGTATATGAATACTAAAAAGGATCAAACAATTAACATACACACACAAAAATAAACAAAATCAACAGCAAAAACACATTCACAGCAGTAAGGCAGAACTGTCCATTTAAATATCCCACTCAGGCAGGCAGCCATTAAGGGAAAGTTTTCCTGAAGAGAAAGATCTCTACAGGTGGGCAAAACCTTTTGAAGTGAGCAAGCTGGGAAGTGAATTTTAAGCAGAATGGTCAGGTAAGGTCAGGCAGAGAGGCGAAGGATGCAAACTTTGCATGTTTAGTGAATTTATATCCTTCGTCCTGATAAAGGTGTAGCCCATCTGCAAATTTCTCAGTTGCCGTGAAGTATCAGAGAATTATTCGTACTCATCTGTAGTGGACATTGTTCATCCCGACCCCCCAATATGTCTCCTACCTCCTTGATCTTTTTATGCACATCAAAGGTGTTGTGTATCTCACCAGCAAAACACAGAAGCAGCAGTCCATTTTTCCTTCTCTGTTTGCCATTATATTTTGTAATCCTGCCATTCGTACATACCGTACTGGTATAAAATGTAACATAAATTTAAAACAAGTAAACATTGCCATTTCAGAGAGGAAAAGAAATAATACAGAATTTCCCTTTTTTAGCTCTTGCCTACACCCCCAAAAAGATTTACTACTCTGTCAAAATACTCTTCTTGAAACTCTACCTCTTATGTAGTTGTTGTTTAGTCATTCAGTTCTGTCTGACTCTTCGTGACCCCATGGACCAGAGCATGCCAGGCCCTCTTGTCTTCCACTGCCTCCCGGAGTTAGATCAGATTCATGTTGGTTGCTTTGATGACCCTGTCCAACCCTCTCGTCTTCTGTCGTCCTCTTCTCCTCCTGCCTTCACACTTTCCCAACATCAGGATCTTTTCCAGGGAGTCTTCTCTTCGCATGAGATGGCCAAAGTATTGGAGCCTCAGCTTCAGGATCCGTCCTTCCAGTGAGCACTCCGGGTTGATTTCCTTCAAAATGGATAAGTTTGTTCTCCTTGCAGTCCAGGGGACTCTTATAGGATCTTCTAAATACCGTAAAATATTTAATTTCTCAAATGAAGAATAATATTTTTTAAAAAATCTTTAAAGTGGCAAAGAATGTCAAGGGAGGTTTTTTCACAGCTCCCCTAAGTTTTGTTACTCTCTTACTTAAAGGTAGCGAACACAATAGAATGTTATCAAATTCCTTCCCTATAATTCTCTTTAAAAAAATTCCTTCAAGCTCCTAGATCAACCGGCTTGTGGTATGTGTTAAACAGCACCTAATAGACTCAGCCAGCTCCATTCATTTTATCTGCACAGTTGTTAAACAGAGTTTTAAATCACCCATCTGCACAACTCCTTGTATGGGAGAAATGTGGAGCAAAATCCTTGAAAAGCTGGATGACACCCAATATCCCACAGGTAGTATGGCTAGCAGCCTTGCTGGCAATGGGATTTTCGAGAAACAAAAGGTTTCCCATCTCCAATTCTTTTTTTTTGCAGGACGAATCCATGGCATCTCCAGTTACAATGGAGTTCACACATTATGAGCAACTATATATAAATAGCAGTGATCTGGTAGTCTTGAGTCTATACTATAAGGCAGTTTTGTGTCCTCTTGGTGTTTTTATCTGCATTGCACCATTATCTATCATGAAATAGAAGTCTCTATATTTGCATTTCATGATGTTATTTCATATATATGAAATACAAATATACTGAGACTTCTATTTCATGATAAATAACAGTGTATATATACAGTATATAGGGCTTCCGGTCAGATCCTCATTGTAGCATTGACCAGAGCTTGACTCGCTGTAGCTGTATCGTGTAGCTTCAGGCAAAGCCTTGGGGTTAATACTCTGAAGAATAATTTGTGCCCCAAAACTGATGCATTTTCTTTGCAAAGCCATGGAGATAATATGGTTGAGCTGATGCTAATAATGCCGTGCCGTCTTAGACGGGATTTATCTGTCAAGAGCTTTCGCTTCCATTCAAACTTCAAGGGTATTCTTTCTTTCCCCTCATCTAGGTTGAGTTGGATGCCCATAAATCCATCAGTCCTATTGTTTCCAATCAGACAATGAGGCCGTTTCGAGAGCTCATCTCTAATTCTTCCATTAGGGATTGGCCTTTGCTAAGCTACGGCTACGATGGTGTGTTCGCACAATAGCCGGGAATTGCTGCCCCTCTTTAATTGAGTACTTTTAGAGCAACTTTGCTCTCCGCTCGCTTCTGAATTGAGCATCACCTCATTGCATTCGCTTCGCCCAACACCACCACCTTCATGAGCAAATCAGCGTGTGCGGGGGACACCTCACGGAGCGCTCCAGCTTCCTTTCTTCCTACCTCAAAGGGAACGTCCCAATGCTGGGACAAAAAAACCCACCAAACCCCACCTGATCAGCAAATACAGAGAGAAGAAAGGTTTTCAAAGGCCTTCAAGGCCTTGCCGGAGCATCATTTCTTCTTCTTAGGCTGTTTCGGGAAGGTCTGTCTATGCACAATGGGGTGCCTTATTACTCAAGAGTGCTTATTCCAACGTGTTCGTTGTGAGCAAACGTTTAGCAAAGTCTTGTGAGGTCTCTGTTCTGCACCTACAGAAATGTTGTCGTGCAGAGGGCTCTGTTCACAAACCAATGGTGCATTAAAAAAATCTACACAAAGGTGTTCTCACAGATTTCTACAATTTGCTTCTCGCTTACTTTATTGTCATCCGGCGGGCAGATATTTGTCCTGTTTTGGAAAAAGCCAAACCCAAAAGACCACAGTATCTGATAAGTACTAATCAGAGTAGATACTTAAAAATACTTAGGAATTCAGGATGGGTGCATTCTCTAGGGAATTGATCAGCAGTCCAAAATAGGCACGTGTGGATTCCCATCTGGATAAATCTAAACACAATTATAATTCAGAGAATGACAGGGAGTGCACATGGCCTGCCTGCTGGGCCATTATTAGGAAGCCCAGAATCAACACAACCTGGTTGCAGACACAAACCGGAATCCTCTTGCCTATCATTGTCAATAGAAGGGACATTGTAGAAGCTGCCGCAGCTCATGGACAAGATGCTGGGCAACAAGAACAGCCAAAGAACCAAGATGCAATTCAAGGTACTCAGTTATCCACCACCATTTCTGCGGTTTCCCTTTCATGTGCAGGTGAAAGCAAGATTCTGGCCACAGAATTGGTACAGGTTGGAAACTCTGCAACAAGTCTCCTTTGTTGGGTGCTTGCACAGAAGCCAAGACCTGGTAGTCCGGAAGGCAGTGGGATTTATCTGAAGTCCATCACCTTTACGTACTAGAGGGAAGAGATTCCATTTTGGAAAGGGCTCCCCAGAATACACAGGCCAAGGGACATCTGTTACTATAAATACATATACAGTGGTGCCTCGCTTAGCGATGTTAATCCGTGCAGCAAAAATCGCTGCTAAGCGATAACATCGCTAAGCGGTTTTTAAAAGCCCATAGAAACACATTAAAATGTGTTTAATGCGTTCCTATGGGCTTAAAAACTAACCTTATGCAAAAATCCTCCATTGCGGCGGCCATTTTCGGTGCCTCTAAAGCGAGGCAAAACAGTGGGCGCCCATTTTTTCCCCAGCAGCCATTTTGGGACCGCTGATCAGCTGGCCGAAAATGGGGGCTTTGCGATGATCGCTTCCCCACGATCATCACAAAGCAAATTTTCGCCATAGGAAACATCGCAAGTGATCACTTTTGCGATCGCAAAAACAGTGTCGCTAAGCGATTTTGCTGTAAAACGGAGCGATCGCTAAGCAAGGCACCACTGTATTGTCTAATAACGGAGCGATCACTAAGCAAGGCACCATTGTATTGTCTAATTGCCATCATCAAGATCTTCTTGCTTCTTAGCTGCCATAGGTGTCTCCCCTGAGCTGCTTTTCCCAGAACAAAAGAAACATTAGACTCAACAGTAAGGGTGACACCAATAAAATATGAGAATGTGCACTGCACACGGACAAAGCCATTGTGGCGCGGGTGAGGAACGAGAGATCCTGCCACAGTATTGGGAAGAGAGGGGAACAGACTGAATTTTGATTCCCTGGATTTTGGTATCCTTTGGGGCCCTTCCAGGTCAACAGTTATTTGATTCATGACTTAATGTTCGCATCAGGCTACCCTTCACCTCCTGCAAGCAGAGACCCAAAGCAAATCCCTCATTTAAGATCAGGACCCCCCCTCCTTTTCTCTGACCAACACTTTATTTTCAGGTGATTTCGTGCCGCTTTGGGTCCACACTTGACTAGTTTTTAATTTTAAAAAAATGACTTTGGTTCTTTTCCTTTGGGGGAAACCTTTCCCCCCTGTTTGGATTTGGCTGGCTCAACCAAAAGCCACAGGAGCAGGATGGCCTCAGAAAGCAAACGGGAGGTTCCGTGGCTGGCAGACCTTCACCCGATTCATGTCCGTCTCCTCTTTTTGTCATCTGCTTACTCTTATGGTCAGAAAGGATTAGCGCGTTACGAGCCCTAGGAATTTCTCTTTTCTTTCTCCGTCAGGCGAGGTAGTGAAGTGTGGCTGCTGTTTTGTAACCCTAACACTCTGCATTTTTCTTTTTCTTTTTCCTCCCCCCTCCTTCCCCACCCCTGGCCTCTTCCTTTTCTTCTCTTCCACAGAGATTTGTGCCGCCGACTGCGGAGGGCACGGCGTTTGTGTCGGAGGCACCTGCCGCTGCGAGGAGGGCTGGATGGGGGCCGCCTGTGACCAGCGAGCGTGTCACCCCCGCTGCCATGAGCACGGGACCTGCCGGGACGGCAAGTGTGAATGCAGCCCAGGCTGGAACGGAGAACACTGCACGATTGGTAGGGGGGAAATACCTTTTTTCAGAAAAGAAAGCCAAACCCACTGAAAATCAATAATCCATGGGGAGCAGGAGGGGTGGGAGGGGAGGGGAGCGGAGGAAAAGGAGCATGCAAAACTGAATGGGCGTGACATTACCGTAGCATGCGCATCTTCTTTTATGTTCCTGGATTTTCATGTTCCGGCGCCATACATTTTCATGCGGCTCTCTGCCTTCCCAGTCCCAAAACCTCCAATGTCCTTTCATTTGTCAGTACGAACACACACACACACAGAGAGACAGAGACACACAGACACAAAAGGTATATGAATAATAGGGATCAGGATATGTGGGAGATCTCCGGCTACCACACACTAAAAAAGAAAATGGGAGGGATGAGGTGGGCCTAAGATCAGGCACATGAAGAAGATCCACTTTCTTCTGAACGTAAAGTCGATTTCTCGTCCTCAGGTTTGTGAAGGAAGGTTCCAGAGTGTAGGGGAGGTGTCCGGAAAAACCACATCAGCCCAGATGTGGGCAGCCTAAGTGGAGTCTCCAAGGGGCAGGACTTGTATCGTTCCACATTATGGAGAGAAACCCAACACATTCTACAAAATATTTGCATCGTTTCCAAAGGAGTTCAAGTTGCAGGAATCAGATTTGTGTTCTGAATTGAGATAGTTGTGCTGCTTATCTTTTCTTCTGATTTTGTTGCTTTACCCACAAATGTGTCCCAACAGTTTTTTGGGGATAGGAAGATGCTAAACTGTTCCCGCTCCGTGTCAGTTTTAAATCAGGCCGCCCGTCAGTTTGGCATTCCACAAGAGGCAATGAACAGCCCCTTCTTTGAAAAGTAAATCATATCTAGAACATCTTCATCAAAACTGTTAAACTGCTGGATAGCTCAGTAGTTTATGTATCTGGCTGCAAAGCCAGAGTTTGGAAGTTCAATTCCCCACTGTGCCTCCTTGACAGGGGCTGGACCTGATGATCCATAGAGTCCCTTCCAGCTGTACCGTTCTAAGATAATTATTGAAGTGAGTGGAAAAACTTTCAATTCTCTTCCATAATTTATGTTCTTTGCTTGTTTCCAAGCAAAGCATTGAACTTTCTCCTCTTTGGCCCAGTTTGAGGAGCATAAATGGCACTCAGGTTCTTCTGCCTTCCCCCTCCAACGCAAAACACAACAGCAGACAAGAAAATTGGGTGGTTGTTGTGCGTTTTTCAGGGTCTTTGGCCATGTTTTGAAGGTTGTTCTTCCTGACGTTTCGCCAGTCTCTGTGGCCGGCATCTTCAGAGGACTGGAGTAGGAACTCTGTCCATGCTCTGTTGCTGTTTGTTGGACAGTTGGGTAGTTCTACAGCAACAGAGCATGGATAGAGTTCCTACTCCAGTCCTCTGAAGACGCCGGCCACAGAGACTGGCGAAACGTCAGGAAGAACAACCTTCAGAACACGGCGAAAGAGCCCGAAAAAACCAAAACAACCATCAGATCCTGGCCATGAAAGCCTTCGAGAGTACAATAAAATTGGGGTTTTAGCAATCCCTGCTTGTCTCATCAGTGCTCCATGAATTAGTCCCATGATTAGGTCTTAGATGACTACTCAGTTTGCTGTGGCATCAAGCTTTCTCATCCCCAGTTCACCAACCTGGTTGTACAGTATTTGTTTGCTCCTGTGTCTGCCCCTCTCAAGTATAAAGTGAAGTCAGTACACATGAATATGTCTAATGTTTGCAACTGTCTCCATGACTGAAGGAAGCAGAATGTTTCTGAACCTTATATCTCTTTTCTCTCAGCCTGTCTTGCCTCCTGGACCAGTGCTGGCTTGAGGGGAGGAGCATATAGTCAACCAAAAGGAGAGATATAAAACCAAGAGAAACGTTTAACTGACTTCCCACATGTATGCCATTAAAATATGAGCCCTCTTCCCTGTTCATACATGAACAGGGCAGACACAGGAGTGACAAATACTGTTGCTTACACACACAAAGATGCATCATGTGCAGACTCATTGGCATTAAAATGACACACTCATCCATGCCTTTCCCTGAACGCTGATCATTTTTATGCTAATGTGGCTCTCCAACGGACACTCCATAAATTGGCACCAAGTGACATTTCTATACAACCGCATTCTTATCTTTCTGTTTGCACGTCTAAAGATTTCTAGCCAGTGAGAATCGAATGTTGGTTCTTAGAATTATTTTGAAATAAAATGGAATGGTTTCAAGACCATTAAGCCACAGTGAAAATATTTAGAGGTGTAATTAATTCTTCTTCTTCCACATCATACCTTGTGGTAAAGTTGCCCCTTGGCGCTGTTTGTGGAAGGGCAGCTGCTCAACAAGAATCTACTCGGCTTATTAGTGATGGGAGTTTTGTATCTCTTGGACTACACATCCCATAATGCCACATTCTAGGAGTTCAGTCTGAAAGATACATTAGAAACACTTAAATGTGGCTCACCTGGGAGAAGGCTTTGAGTCTGAGCTAGGCCTAGCTCTTGGGGCCAGACCATCCACTCACGTGTCCAGTGGCGGTGACAGCCTGATTCATCCTTCCAATCACTCCTAGAGCAGCACTCTCTTCCCGTTTGGCTAGCCACTCCAGGCACGAGGAGGGAGGACACGTCTCCCTGCATGGCTGCTGAGTGGCTACCTGAGTGGGAAGAAAGCCAGGTGCCGGGAGGGATTGGAAAGGTGAGCGAGGCCACCGCCGGATGCATGAGTGGACAGTCTGACCCTGGGAGGCCAGACCCTCGTTAAATCCAGCTCCATGGGGATATTCATATTCATCTATGACTAGCCCCATCTCTATTGGTGAGCTTAGGTGTTCCTGCTTTAATTCTGCTTCACTGAAGCAAAGAATGTCCAATTTTGCTTATTTTGCTCTCACTGGTGAGAAGGAGGGTTGAAAACTTTTGCCCCTAACTGGGGAGACTGTGAGCATTTCTTCTCTCTTCAGGATTCTTTTTTTGTGTATAAAAAAGCCACTCAAATGTTTTTGCACGCCCACACACAAAAATCTTGGACAAAATTTAATTTTTATACAAAGTAAAATAAACTCTTTTTTGGGGGGTGCAGAACTTGGAGTAGAAGAGTTTTTGGACTGAAACTCCATTAACGTGTGCGCTAGTTAGAGAATTCTAGGAGTTGTACTCTTAAAAAAATGTTTCCCCACCTTGGGCCTTTGGACCTGGTGCAGCTGATTGACTTGATTGCTTTAACACCCTTGTAAACCTGCTAGACACAACATTTTTTTAAAGTTATTAAAGGCAGAAAATCCAGTACGACACCCACAGATCTTCTACGTTGAGAGGAAGGTTTGGATCCACATCATGGCAAAGTTAGTGGTGAGACCTATAAAAATTTCTGTGGGATTTGGTTTGCTCCCCATAACAAACTAACTAGCTTTCCATGAAAATCATTTGGATTTTCTGAGGTGTTTCTGTCAGACACTGAAAAAACAACAACCCTAAAATGTTCACTCCAAAAGAATATGGATCTTATCACTGGAAAACTACAAAACCTCCTATAGGAACGTAGGCTTCATGTGTCAGATCCTGGGAAGAGCCTTTTAAGGGTTCCTCGGAGTGGCGCAGAGCTGCTCATTTTGATTTTGTTGAGGTAACATACTTCTTACCAAGGCAGAGGGTTCTTGCTTGCTTGCTTCCTTCTTGTTTGTGGGAAACAGCAATGAGAAAATGCCAATGAAACCTGGGTAGTTTTTTGATGGACGCAAACCGTCCTTCAACATTACTTCCTTGGCCAAAGACACACAACTGGTCTTGACATGGCATCAACCTCCTGAAATGGGAAAAAACAGCGATTTGAGCCAATTTCCAATCTTTCACCATTTACCCAAATATCTTGTAATCAGAATCAGCACAGTGGGAGTTTCAGGTCTCAGTGCAGGGTGAGGAGTAATCATTACTTGTGATCGTCGCTCTTGTTGTATGTATCCTAAAAAGCCCAGAAAGTACAAGAAAAGCTTTCTTTACATGCTGCTTTCTCTAAACAGCCTGTAAATGCTCGCATGAAAAAGATACCTTTCTGGACGGCAACTGCATAGCGACCATTTGGCATTTGGGAGTTGTAGTCAGGAAACAAAATATCTTTTTCTCAGCTGTGCCTGCCTAGTGGCTTAGCAGAACGGTTGGCTGTACAGGCACGGACGCTCCAAGAGGAATACATTTTCCTAGACTTCTAATCCAATGTGCACACCCTAAAAGAATTCTCACAGAGACACAAAAATTTGTTTTCAAAAAGGATAGCAGTATTGGCACCTATGAAAGGACATTGACGTGGACTTCATATTGTGCATGGTGCGCGTCTCCTCCTCCTCGTGTGACTTCCCTGCATGGCCAACTTGCATTGTGGACAACTATCCCAGTTGTGTCTCATCTTCCCTGCCTGTTTATGCCTTTTTAAAAAAAGTGATATCCCAGTGGCTAACTCAAAATTCCTGCCTCTGATCAACATGCGTGCAGGAAACATGACGATGAGTGCCTAGCACAACTGGAAGAAGCTACTCCTAATTTTCCTTCCCTGTTGATCACAGAACAGAGAAAAGTAAGAGTGGCTTCTTCAGTTCCATCATTTCTAGCTGCGCACAAGGTACAGCCTCAGGCTGTTTCGTGTGGGTCCCACCTTGGTTTGTGTTGGCCTCTTGAACAGGTTAAGCTTCTAGTCCCTGTGTGGAACTAGCTGTTTCGATTAGAGGTGTGCATGATTCTGTTCTTGGACTACAACACCCAGAATCCCCCAGGCAGCAAACTAGTGATTCTCTAGAAAATGCCATCTGCTGCATATTCTGAACAGCCAGAACATTGACGTTTCTCCTATTTTACAGACAGATTTAATTAATCCATCTTCTCCCGTTGCTTACAAATAGTAATCTTGTTCTTTCATTGACCTGTTTCTGGATAGTTCAGTGGTTTAGATCTCTGACTGTGAGGTTGGGAGTTCGATTCCCCACTGGACCTCCTTGACAGGAGTTAGACTCGATCCATAGGGTCCATTCCAGCTCTGCAGTGCTAAGATGATGATGACGATTGATGAACTTACCAGTGGATTCTAGACTCCAAAATGGGAGGGAGCACCAAAATTCTTTCAAAGGTCATGACTGTTCCAGGGGGTGGTCTTTTCAAGTCAGTGCAGAAGGGAGAGAGCGGAAAGAGATGGAAGAAAATAAATAAATAAATAAATAAAGTCAATGCAGAAGGGAGAGAGCGGAAAGAGACGGAAAATCAAAAGGAGTCATCTGAGAGCCAGACTGGAAGAAGCATAGGATTGGTGCCCAAGATGGAGAAGTAACACTCTCCAGTCCTTACTCAGTAAAATTAAAAGTACTTGGCAGGAAGAAAGCAAATGAAAATCACCACTACAACAGCCTACCTCCTTTTCCTTCTTCTGAAGATGTCAGCTCTTCAAAAGAAAGGGAGCCTTTCAGTCACACCACGCCTGAGAGCCAGACTGGAAGAAGCATAGGATTGGTGCCCAAGATGGAGAAGTAACACTCTCCAGTCCTTACTCAGTAAAATTAAAAGTACTTGGCAGGAAGAAAGCAAATGAAAATCACCACTACAACAGCCTACCTCCTTTTCCTTCTTCTGAAGATGTCAGCTCTTCAAAAGAAAGGGAGCCTTTCAGTCACACCACGCTGGGCTAAAATGTCTGGATTCCTTTTACCATTTTTTTTAGCATTCTATCAGTCTACGACCTTAAGCCAAACAACTTAAACTCTTATTTCCTTCTTCCGAATCCCTGGGCTAAAATGTCTGGATTCCTTTTACCATTTTTTTTTTAGCATTCTGTCAGTCTACGGCCTTAAGCCAAACGACTTAAACTCTTATTTCCTTCTTCCGAATCCGTTCCTATCGTCTCCTTCCTTGGCCTTCCCTTTTCGAGGGATTGGCTCTCGTGTTGAGCAAACTGTCAGGTGGAGGCTGTCCCACAAGGGCATCGGTCCACCGCTGCTGTGAAGAGAAGGTATGAACCAGGAAATGAAACATTTCTCTGATACCAGGAGAAGACCCCATGCCAGGAGAAGACCTTTTCTGCTCTTCTGTAAATCGACTACGTGGCCAGGATTTATACACCAGAGTTCCACCATGTAATTGGTCACAGTTGTGTCTGTGGTACTACCCTTGCCACCTAGACTGGCATGAGACAAGAGACAACATTCGATGAAATGTGCAGGAAAAGCTGTATTCGCTCCGTCTCTTTCAATATCTATGTAGAGCTCCACTCTGAACACACAAAGGTCTATAAGACCTCGGGTAGGGACGTGGGGCCCCTTGGTATCTTTTGACCAGAGATATTGGCCAAGTCTTTAGGTCGGAGACCCAGTTCTGAATCCAATTCATTGGTACGAAGTCCCAAATCCGAATCTGTGGTACCAGCTCCAAAGTCTCAGCCCTAAGTCCGAGACCCTATTAAAAACAAAAGGGAGGACTGGATGAGTTCCAAGTCATGAGTCGAATCCAAATCATTGAAAAAAGTCAAGTCACCGGTGCGACTTACGTCTGACTTGACAACAGGTCCCACAATCCATGTCCCCATCCCTGCTTTTGAGCTTTACATGCTTTCAGGCTGAACTTCTGAAAGGCGGTTAAGCAGAAAAGGCGATTTAATGTACAGTACTGCGTTAAATCTTTATTCGGGAAAGTGGAGAAAATCCCCCTAGCTCTGTGCTGCCTTCACCCCATTTATGTTGCAGGAGTCAAATGGGCTCCTCTGGCTATTTAAATATCAACACTGGTCTCCCAGAGAAAGTCCTTATCCGCTCAGCGAAAGATGGAGAAGATCTAATCAGTGCACAAGACTACTTTCTGCACCACTGCAGTCTCACAGACGAGGGCATTACTGCAGGCAGGAACTTTGATGGTAGCCTGTGTTTTTTTTTTAATGGCTGATGTTGGAAGGTGTCCAATGTTGGCACTGTTTAAATTCATTATAATGGGACAGGAAGGTAGGGAAGTAATTTGTTCCACATACTGGGACATAACTGGAATTGAACCCCACCTGGGGCTTTGCCCCAGCGCGCCCAAACCTGAAGGGAGCCAAAATCTAGAGGCAACTTTCCATTTTTTTTTAAAAAAATAAAGTATAGCCCTTCTCTTCCTTTTTTTGAGGGGCACCCTATTTTCCTCCTCCACTTTTCTTTGAGGGGGAACGGGAGATGAATGCCGGCCACACAAATGGCTCGTTCTGGCCCTGTGACAGCTTACTCCTGCTGGTGCTGTATCTATCAATGAAGCGACCGTTGATTGAAAGGAAGAAAAAAGAGAGAAAATACAGATATATTTATAGCCGTGGTGCTGTAGTTGTGAAAGGGACCCCCAGAACGCCCTGTCCCATGAATACCCACCATGTTTTTCCCCCCACTGCACCCTGAATAAATAGATATAATTTCTCCTCTTTGTTGGCTGAAGGTATTGCTGTTATCCCTTTTTTCCTCGCCTCCCTCTAACAACAGCTTGGTTTTCTGTTACTGTCGTTGCTTTGATTGCTGTAATGGTTGTGGTTGTCATTGTCGTTTCTCCTGCCTTCCTTCTCCCCGCTGCTCCCTTTCCTTGGCCTCCGTCACATCCACACTGTCTTGTACTAAAGCTGTATTGCACTTTATTCAATCCTCCTTTACATGTCCTGTCTTTTATCTCCCAAGCTCACTATCTGGATAGGGTAGTGAAAGGTATGGTGGTCTTCCTTCCTCTTTCCCCTCCCCTCCCCGCCGTTTGTCTTTGTGTTATGAACACACATACACAACACCCATCCCAGTGTACACATGACAGTCATGAGTTTAGGCTGCATTTTTTCCCCTCCATATCCACAAGACTCCCGCCTGAAATCTGGCAAAGGCTCGCTTTTCACGGATTTAGGCTGGGAAGGCATATCTGTGAGTTCATCCCTCTGTATGTTGCTGTCCTCTTGCGATGACTTCATGTCACGGTTTCCTCTCCATTCCAACCCTCGTACTCATGAGCTCAGTTCTTCAGGAAGGAGGCAGAATGACCAGAGGTTGGCTGAAATCTAATAGTAAGTCACAACTAGAGTTGGACTGACCATTTAATCGGTGGGGGTGATCAGTTGGGATTTGGTGAATCAGATGGGCACAAACCAATTGTTGTAAAGGTAACAACACTGCTCCCCTCCTCGGCCGATCAGCCCCTCGCCAGGCCCAGCTTGTTTGCTTTTCCCCCCCACCTCCTCAGCTGATCTCCCGGTCAGGAGCAAGAGCCCAGACTTTTCTGCCCCGCCCTTTTCTCTGAGTGGCAGATCAGCCAAGGGGGCGGGGCTGAAAAGCCTGAGCTGCTACCAGGACTGGGAGATCAGTTGAGGAGGTGCCGGAAGCTAGGATGATGGGCCTGGTGAGGGGCTGCTTGAGCCAGAGGAGGCAGCGGGAGAAGGGAGCAACAGCACCTGTGGTGCAGCCGCCTTTACAAACCAGGCCGAATTGGTTTGTGTCCCTCTCTAGTCAGCACCTCTAGTTTCCTTTAATTCAGCAGTCCTAGTTGTGACCTGTTATTGGTTTGGAGCCGCTCTAGCAAAGTTTTCGTTTTAAGTGCCATGCCTCAAGCAGAGAAGACCAGGTGAGTGTGTTTGACTGCATGTAGTATCTTTCTTCCTACATGATAAAGAGCCGTCTTGATCGCTGCTTTGAAATGTTGCTTTTTTGGGTGGTGACTTGTGGAATACAGCCAGACTGTAGTACCCGCAGGAGATCGGTTCCAAGGCACCTCCCTGGCGGTTGCCGCCCCCCGAAAGACACCCCAGTGTCAATACTATACGTTGCATGGTCTTTGGCTCCCTCTAGTGGCCCGTTCTGGTAAAAATGCATCGGAAATAGAAATGCCTTTTCTGAGGGTTTTTAATTTAGTATTTTCAGGTAGCGGATAATGATCCCACAGATAGAGGGGTCCCATTGTATCTCAGACTATGTGGCCAGTGGCCATGCTAGCTGGGTGATTGTGGAAGCTATAGCCCCAAAAGGAAACAATTCCAGGCTTTGCTGTTGACAGGTAACTTTGTTTTTGGATGTGAATTAATCTCTTAAGTAAAAATGGTCAAGAGATCCAGCCTTAAGTTTCTAAAAGAGATGATGTATATCAACAGGAAGGTGGGTTCTCTGGATGCCCTGATAGTTATCATTCAGGCTACATCCAAACTGTCTTTGCTTCTTTTAGTCCAGTTGACACCACCTGATACCCTGCATGCATATATCTAAGAAATACCAAATGCTGCCATTGGATTATTGACCTCTTCTTCATTCGTGTTAGAAGCCATTCAGTGGTGGCTTCCAAAGTGGAAGAATCAACCAACAGAGAGCTTTTTTTCACTCTGTTCACAGCCGTCAAATCTTTCAGGGAGGCTCCTACCACGTCCTGCAGTTCATGGTTAAGGGACTCGCAGAGACACTACTACTTACATTGCACATGAGCAAAATGCAGCCCTCATTTGGGATTGTACTTCTATCAGCCGTAGCCAGGACAGTAGCTAGTAAAAGAAGAATGCTGAGAATTGCAATCCAACAGCTGAAATCCTCTTGCCTGCTTACACTGGCATAATGCAAACTGTGTTGCTTGTAGTGGCAAATTGCCTCTAATTAAGAAATCTCCGTAGAGATTATCCGTCACGTGCCAGTTTGCTTGACTGTGCAACAAACAATATCTCGGTAAACTTCTTAACTTCAAGCAATTAACCTCCTAAAGTTAACCTTTTGGTGTAGCTACTTTGCCATCCCCGACTGATGTTTACTAGATAAAAGCAGACTAGAAGGAGTCCCGAATCTTGTGCATGGTGAAAAGAACCCGCTGCTTTCCCTTTTTGTACTCTTTAACATTTAATCAACTGGAGGGCAATGTTAATTTAAATGTTTTGATCTACTTCAAAGTGCTTTGAGCACTCAATCAGGAAACATTTATTTATTTATTTATTTATTTATTTATTTATTTATTTATTTATTTATCTATCTATCTATCTATCTATCTATCTATCTATCTATCTATCTATCTATCTATCTATATATTATCACAACATATCTTAAGACCACCCTAAAAATCTTCCCTGAGCATCAGGTTTGCCCATCTCGTGACTGATATTTCATTTTTATTGCTGTTTCTATGGCAAACTGCAGATAGAAAGCTTCATCACAGCATTTTAACTACCAGTTTTCATTTCAGAAGTTGCATCCCCACGGCTAACACAGAGGTGCATTATCTGAATGAAAAGTACAGTGGGGTCTCTACTTAAAAGCTTAAACCGTATTGGAAGGTGGTTCTCAAGTTGAAAAGTTCTTATGTTGAATCTGCATTTCCCATAGGAATGCATTGAAAACCATTTAATCCGTATCTGCTCTTTTCCGTCCATAGAAACTACAGTATAGTTTTTCACCTTGAGAACATTTGTTCCTCTTATGAGAAGATTCCATTGATTAAGATTTATTTAAGCCAATTGCATCCTGTGTTACTTTTTGGGGCAACTGTGCTGTCAATGAAGGCCACCATGTGAGGTTGTTCCCTTCTAGTGCGCTTGGTTGAGCTTACATGCAAACTCTTTTGTATTAGGGAATTTTGATTACTAAGTCGGGTTGAGGATCATAGGCGTAGATCTAGGTGCGCAGCGTAGAAGAATTATTTTTGCTACCATTTCCTAGGATCCCAAGGCAAGCGTAGCCACTAACAAGCACGACCTCTGCCTCAATCATAACCAGACATGTGGGCCTTTGGGCTTCGGTCCAGTCATGCCATGAACTCCCACTGGTAGTGCCACATGGAATACCCATCTCGCAGGCTGTCCTATCCATTTGCACTCATGAACTCATGTAACGATTGCCAGCAGAATAGAGGACCTAGAGAAACAAGAAGGTCTGTGGGGTGTGTGTGTGTGTGCAATCTCCTTGCTTGGAAGAGTTGTAACTTTTGCAGAAATGTTCAAGAGAAAATACAAAATGTTTCTTTAAAAAAAAAACTCCTATGTGAAGAAAAAAACAGCTCAAAACAGCCTGCTAAATATTGATGATCATCTGGGAAATGGAAAGAAACGAACAAGCAGAAACCCAGTTCTCTTGATCAGAGCAGAAGGCTCTATTTTATCTTCTGCATTAGAGAGGCTTAGCATAGTTGGCTGGGTAGCTCGGTGGTTTAGGTATCTGACTGTGCCTTCCGGGAGCCGGACTGTGTGACCTTGGGCAAGGTCTCCCAAGTCAGAACGACGGGCTGAAATCCTGTTGCGTAGCATAAGCAAAACCCTATGTTTTGATCCATTCCTCACTAGTAAATAAAGAGCCCCTGTTGCAATTTGAGTGGGCATGCATACATGCTGGATTTCAGCAGGGGTTCTTTATTTACGGTCAAGAAACCTATGGAAAGGTACTTTTTTCCCCTTACATTACACAACAAGATTTTGGCCTCTGATTTAAACCGGAGAGATTAATTGGTTTGGTGGTCTTCTAATCCAATCCAAAAGCAAAGCACAGTGGTCTGCTTGTATACGCACCTCCAAAGGAAAGGAATACTGGAATACACCACTTCTATGTATTCCTCCACCTGGAGAACCTGAAAAAGGTCGCCATAGGTCAGAATGGATTAGATGGCACAGGATGATGGTGATGATGTTGATGATGATGATAGTTAGCTGAACCCCAAGCTGACAATACTTCTGCCAGGAGGTGAGGATTAGGGGTGTAAATTGTGCTTTTGCTCATCCTTGTGCAATAAACAACAACTTGTGACACATGTTCTCCTTGAAGCAAGGGAGCGAGTGGTCTCAGACACAGGCCTCCCCATGCCCCACTCGAACACCCCACGCAACTTTTCAAACCTGGCTAAAAGTAGAAAGGAATCTGTGTTTTTGGTGTAACATAGCGAAAGGGGCTTGCTTTAAAGTGCACCCATTCAAAGCAGTAGTCTTAATTCGGGGGGGGAGACATGCTTAGAGTCAGCATGTTAATGTGAAATACGCCATTAGTAGGAGATAAGGCTGTGATAAATAAATAACCAATAGTAGCAGCATGTTAATGTGAAATACGCCATTAGTGGGAGATAAGGATTGTGGCTGTGATAAATAAATAACCAATGGTAGTCTTCTTCTCCTTAAATTGTTCGTCGGACACGACAAAACGACTAAACGAACGCGTCTTCTCCTCCTTAAATTGTTGCTGTCTAAGAGCTGCCTAGGTTGGTGGATAGCCCTGCAGCAGATCCCATAGTTTTCCAATTTGTGCAAGGAATCCTTGATCTCTCACGGTTCATCCTCCTTGAATAATTCAGGGTTATGTTGTGGGCGTGGACGATCTCCATACCGTGAATAATTTTATGGGGTTTTATCACATCTCCTTCTACTAGGGTTGTTTTTTTTTTCCAAAATCAAAACAGATTTAACATTTTCTATGTAAGCCTATTTCCTTCAGGCTCAATTTGGTTGGCCTTTTTTTCTTCCCTCTGTTCCCCATTCTGCTGAGTAGGATCGCCAGACAGGAGAGATTTAGCGTGTCGAAAAGCCAGGGAAAGAAAGAGGAGAGAGCAAGGAACAGAATTTGAGCCCCATGTGCCATTTGGAACAAGGCAGAGAGTGAAGGATTAGCTTTGGGATGCCTAGATCATCTTGTTCAATGTGCTCAACTAAAGACAGAGATAGACAAGATGCACATGCGCATGCACCCATACATGTACATAAACATACATGTACATGTGT